ATAATGCTTTATGATTTCACAATTAATAAATATTTGGCCGTTTGTAATAATGATATCTCTTGAACAATTTACATAATGTGACTTAACACAGTTGACCTCTGAAGTACAGATTTAGTACTAATTTAAATGCAATTTTTTTATTTGTAATAAAAGAAATGTTGAAAATTCTTTGATTTGTGAATTATTAAACACAAAAAAGATAAAACCATAGTTGGCTTACACAAAAATAAGTTTTTTCAAAATTTCCAAGACATACTTGATTTTTCAACACTAAAATTATGTTAGAAATTAGTCTTTAATCAAAAATAAAAATTTCAATAAAAATTTTTGATCTTTTAGTAGTCGTTTCACCTATTTAAGGACACACTGTATATCCAATAATTTTTTTCGTTTTATTTTACTTTTTTGCAATTGTTTGGTCAATTTGTGCGTTTTTCGTCACGTCTGAGATCAAGTGAGCCCCGACGTGAGTCCATTACAGTAAAAAGTCCCGTTTCCTGTTTTTTCGTTCCCGAAATGCGGCCCTTGGACCTTAACATTCCGGTATCGCCTTATGAAAAATCGAAGCGTCTCTGTTCAGTTATTCCCGGAATTTCGGTCATAAACAATCCGGAGTGGTTAGCATTACTCCGGCGTTAAGTCTTGACGTTGTGGTGACTTGTAATTAAGTCGCTTGGTTAATGTTAACGCCACCCCATGTAACATATTTCACCCCCCGCGTTACGTATGTAAGACCTCCTCGTTATCGAAGACCATATTTCACGAGCGACTAGAGGGCCATTCAGTGGCCGATCCTTAAAGTAATTCAGTCCTGCGACCTGATATCTGGCTATAAATCAGGACGATTTCGACACGCAACACGCGGATATCCAATCGCATTATGATCCTGGATCGAAGGATCAGGATTATTAGGATATTTCATTGGAGTTTGTAGGTGCTAAAAGTGTGATGTCAAGAATTACAGGAATATTTTTTTGCAGTAATCTACATAATTGCAAATTTTGTTTCAGGACATTTTCCAAAAAATATCGCTGGATTTTTGGACAACACGACTAACGACACTACAACTAGACTTTGCGGGTAAGGGTTTTTGTCTAATTTTGTTTGTTTTAGGATAACATTTTTTCCAATTTTTAGCCAGTTTTAAAACCGGCTTTTTACAATTTTTATTATTCAAAATTTGAGCTTGAAGTACAAAAATAAAATAAATATTTTTGTTACAAGTACTTAAAATACAGTTTCTTCAAACGAGTTGAGGCATTTGGACAAAAAAAATATTTTTGAATTGGTTCGATTGATGTGAAGTAATAAAAAATGCAGTTTTTGAATAGCTTCAATCCTTTTTTAGTTTCTTGAAAGAAGAATAAAATAGTGTTTTGTGTTTTTTAACTCAAAAAAAATCGAATATAGGATTGTGGTTTTTACTCAAAATTTGTGTTTAACTTAGGTTTTATACAAATAATAAATATTTGGAAATTTATAATTCAGAAATTATTTAGACCAAAATTTGAAGTCAATTTGTTAGACAATTATTTCTGTACAATTATTTTGTTATGAACTT